CAGAGTTTACTACTGATAGGACAGGATAGTTATGTGTTTGGAAGGAGTGTAAACCATATGTAAAAACAAGGGTTTATGTAATTCGTAAGTTATTATGTTGATGTGTTTGCGGTTGAGAATTTTTATAAGAACTGAATAATTGGTTGCAATACTTTCTTTTATGTGTGTAATTGATTTAAAATGAAATACGAGTGTCCTATATACTAATTTATTTGAGACAACGCCGCCAAAAAAAAAAAAGGGCGTTATATAAGAATATTGTCAAATTTACCATTGCATTGAGAAAACAAAAAGTTAGGTAATTAAAGATAGGTTACAAACTTAAATTTGTAATTTCCTATTTTAAGCCATCTTTCTTTCCTCATTGTCTCCAAATATGTGAGAATGACAAAATTAATTTTTAAAAGAATATGAGGGTCTGAAAGAGACTCACCATGCTTTTCTTTACTATTTAATCTTCTTATTCAAACAAATAAAGTATAGTAAACATCCATTTTTTTTCTATCCACTGCCCTCAGTCCAAACATAGGGTTACTAGCTCCACCCATCAAACATAGGGTTACTAGCTCCATTCTGATGGGTGAACACTAGAGGTTTAAACTGGCATCGATGTTCCAAACCATTCAGATGACATAAGGATCATATCAAACTTTAAAGGACATTTCATAAGGGGGAAAATTACTATTAAAAACAAATGTGGCCAACCAATGATGCCGATTACTAGGTTAAAAAATGAATTTATCACTATTCTGTTCTACTGGTCAAGTCTTTAATTTCAAAGGAAAGCACCTCTCTGGCCAGCCACTCCTTGTATTTTCTCAAAATCCAATTAGTTATTTCAGCTCATCCCTGGCAAAACTTTTCATCCAGATTATGATTGGCAATTAGCTGCAACTACCATTTCTTTTCCTCTTTTAGAAGGAGCTCCACCTACCATTTCTTGAAAGCTCCAAACATCAAATGCTAACTGTCTAACTGCATCAGCTAGAATTATTTAATCACTATTACTTACCAAGTAAGTTTAGGCTAGAAGAAGGAAATGCAAACCCTTACTAATAGGTCCTAGCTTCTTATCACCATGTTTTCTTGTTCTTTCTTATGGTAAAAGGAAAAAATCACTTATGAGAACTAAGAGCAAATTTCCAACTTATCCATGATCCACCTAGATTATGGAGAGAAAAAAACACACGACCATGATACTTGTACCATGAAGGATTTGACCAACAACCAAAAAGGGAAACATTCATATATTTGAACCCATGTGCTTCTCAAGGAAAGGAAGCAAAGAATAGACTAAAAGCACTAGGTTTCATGAAACTTTTTTCAATGCACTCCTTTGAGTCACTACTTTCGATTTGTTTTCTTTGCATTTAACATTAGACAATCTACAAACGACTTTGGCAACAATAGTAATCTTGACTCACATACAGCAATTACAGATATGTATTAGACTAAATCTTCGACAAACAGGCAAGCAAGCAGAAAACCCACAATATGCAACAGATTATCCACATGAAAAGTTCATTACCTACTACCCAAAATCAAAGAAAAAGGAAACATCTTTGAAATAGTTCCTCCCCTTATATTCAGAACCCAAAACCAAAAACTCTTTCTAAAGCATAATGATCACATTTTGAGCAGAATGTGAAGAAAATTAAATCAAAAGAGGAAAGACCATTAAATTTAAGGCCGTGAACCAAACACCTAAAGTCCAATCACCATTCATTGTAGATAATGATTGTACCCAACAAGAAAAACAAAAGTAAACAGCAAATCCTATTAGAGATTAAATCAATAGATGAATCGATCTAAATGACGAGCCAACATTATACTTGAACCCATAGAATCGAGCAACAGCTGAAAACATCGCAAATCTAGCTGTATCATTCATCAGATACCCAAATATATATATATGTTTACTCTCCATTTGTATTAGCAATTACAAACTGCATCCCCAATGTAAACACATTTTTACAAATTATAAACTTGGAGTCATCAGATTCCTTACCCAAGTATTAAATCCAAGCGACCTTTTGCTTTAAGTAAATTTGGGAGATATCCTGCCTCCTCCTTTTTCTGCTTTAGATTCTTCCCTGTTTCTTCTTCTATTCGGAAGCTATCACTTGATTCTCTGACTTCCAGACTCTACCTAAAGCCCCTTGATTGTTGTTTTGCACTCTTTCCAGCCTCTAAATTTTTCTCGATTTCCTCATTTTTCCGTCTGCACCGTACTGGGCGACACCCTGCATTCTCTCTGTCGATTTTTCAGGATTCCTGGACGCTACTCCGGTATCCCTCTAGATTTTCCGTCTTTATCACCCTGCTAGACCCCCTAGCCCCTTCTTCCAGAAATGCTCTTTCTGCGCGCTCACCGACTGCATTTAGAGTGACTGGGCCAAACGTCTGCGCTTGGTAGGAAGGCAATGGGGGCGGGTTACCTGCCCTACTCGCCATGTCCTGGGTGGATATTTAGGTCAAGTATTGGGCCTGTTTTACATTACAATTTAAGTTATTAGTTCAACAAATTGTAGAAAAAAATATTTTTCATATTTTTATTCATTAATTCATAAAAAGATTAATTTTTTCACTGTTGTAATTAGCTTGCAGATAATCTCTATTTTGTTAGTATTAGTACTTGTTTATGAGGATTAGATTATTGATAATTTTGGGATTAGAAATGAAAGATCAAGTGATGTGATTATCCAAAATTTTTGTTTTCTTTATTTTTAATTTTCTTTTGATAAAGATGGTTTAGATGTTGATCTCAACCATAAAATCCATTTAATCTAATTATATTATTTTAGAGATAACATTAAATTTTATTATAATCTTAATAATTTTCACTTTATTTACCCACTGCTTACTAAAAAATGAGTACTAATTATAAATTTATATCAATTTTTAAAACAACAATTTCTATATATATATTTTTTTAAGAATTATCGTATTAGCTATATTTACAACCAAACAAATCTTCTTCCTTAATTTTTGTTTTTAAATATAACTTCACAAATGAGCAGGATTGGAGATGAGAATACTCCCGTAACCAAACAACCCCTCCGTAAATGGCAAACCAAGCACGCCTGTAGAACCTTCCAGAACCACCAGAACCCTCTGGTCTCCAAGTCTAACTCCCCATAAATCATCGCCCTTTATATATTCCTTCCTTGTCCCTGCTCTTCTTGGTTAAACTTCTCTTCACCAACGAAGCCTGTCCGCACCAAAACAAGCTAGAAGGTTGTTCTAGACTCTTCTTATTGGGCTCTTCATGGCCGACGAAGCCAAAGCCAAAGGGAACGCGGCCTTTTCGGCCGGAGACTTCTCCACCGCTGTGCGCCACTTCACCGAAGCCATCGACCTCTCGCCGACCAACCACGTCCTCTACTCCAATCGATCCGCCGCTTATGCCTCTCTCCACAAGTACGCTGAGGCGCTGGTCGATGCCAAGAAGACTGTAGAGCTCAAGCGCGACTGGTCCAAGGGCTATAGCCGTCTTGGAGCCGCTCACCTTGGATTGAACCAGCACCAGGACGCGATTGCGGCTTACCGGAAGGGTCTCGAGATCGATCCTAACAATGAGGCCCTCAAATCCGGACTGGCTGACGCACAAGCTGCCGCTGCCGCCGCAACCTCCAGGTCGCGAGCCGCTCCGCCTCCATCTCCATTTGGGGACGCCTTCCAAGGGGCCGAGATGTGGGCGAAACTGACTGCTGATCCCACCACCAGGGGTTACCTACAGCAGCCCGATTTCGTCAAGATGATGCAGGAAATACAGAAAAACCCTAACAATTTGAACTTATACTTGAAGGATCAGAGAGTGATGCAGGCACTGGGTGTTCTGTTGAATATTAAGTTCAGGGCGCCAACAGGCGACGATATGGAGGTGCCGGAGGAAGGATCTCCGCCGCCACCTATGCAGAGGGCTTCTGAGTCGGAAGCGAAGAAACCTGAGCCAGAGCCGGAATCAATGGAACTGACCGAGGAGAAGGACGCGAAGGAGAGGAAGGAAATGGCAAAGAAGGAGAAGGAGGCGGGAAATGCAGCTTACAAGAAAAAGGACTTCGAGACTGCAATCGAGCATTATACGAAGGCTCTGGAGCTCGACGACGAGGACATTTCTTATCTTACAAATCGTGCTGCTGTCTATCTGGAGATGGGCAAGGTTTGCTAATTTTCTCCCTTTTTCTTTAATTTAATTTAATTTAATTTAAATTACGCAGATTATGCATTATATGAAATATGCTTTCATGCGGACTATTGGAAGAAAACTGTAAGGGTTTTTGTATGGGTATGTTATTTTCACTGGCTTTTACATGGGACTTAAATTATTTGAATTAGTAAACTTAGGAGATCGGGGTTTGGTGAATTTTGTCATTTTATTTTTGTGTAGTGAGTTATGAATAATGCATTTGTCCTTTTCTTGTGGGCTGTAAAAAGAAGTTTATGGATTCCCTGACAGCACATTTAGAACTGGCTTGCTAGGTGCTACTTTGCTGTAGTTGAAGGGAGACTTTAGTTTTAAGGCCCTAATGATGATAAATCCGTCACTTGAACCCCCATGACCCTTACTTGAACCCTTCCTCACTCGCGGAGACATAATTTAGTGTCTGAAACTGGGTTAGTTTTTCCGATGAAAGGATGCAGTTTAGCTAATAACTTGTGTGTTGTTCCTTGAAATAACATGAACGGAGCTCCTTGCCATGGCTACGGAACATTTTTTTGAGTTATGCGGTATGTGCAACTATTTATGCTATGTGGAGAACTGAAGAGTTAGAAGCTGGAAATATGATGTTGGATTCACTCTGCTGGCATAGTTGCTAAAGTAACTTAAAGCTGCTTATTTAGAAAAATATACAGATAAGAGTTTGGACATAAATGTTTTTTTTTTCCCAAGAAATAGTATTTATTATATTTGTTCCTGTAAGAAAATAGTTATATGAGAGTAAATTAGGTCTTTTTTTTATGAAAGAGGGTCATTAAGTGAATATGAAAAAGTTCTGGAAGGTTTTTGTTTGTTTGAGGTTAAAGTTATTTTTTGATATCTTGCTTGTTATGTTAAGTACGTGTGATTAAAACTATCTTTAAGGACTTTATCATTTATTTATTTTTTTGATTCCATTTTAAGGATGAGAAAAATGAAGGCATGAGTAAGGCCTAAATGCATGTTTTGGTTACTTGTGTATCATTTTGTTGAAAGTTCATATTCTTGGGTTGTATAGAACCTGCATCCTATTCTCAATATTTGTTTATGATAATCCTGTGAAAGTTAAACCATTTTCCTAGATCCAGGCTTAATATTGCTGTTTCTTGGCCTTTTGTGTGTGCGTATATGTGCATGTTCTACTTTTCCTATGCTCTGTTTACATAAGGAAAGTATTGAGCAAATTATTTACTCCTGTTTCAGTATGAGGAATGTATTAAAGATTGTGACAAGGCTGTTGAAAGGGGTAGAGAACTCAGATCAGACTTCAAGATGATAGCAAGAGCTTTGACTAGGAAGGGGACTGCTCTGGCAAAATTGGCCAAATGTTCGAAGGACTATGAACCTGCTATTGAGACTTTCCAGAAAGCTCTTACAGAGCATCGAAATCCTGACACATTGAAGAAATTGAATGATGCAGAGAAAGCAAAGAAAGAACTAGAGCAACAGGAGTATTTTGACCCAAGGATAGCTGATGAAGAGCGTGAGAAAGGTAGTCTGTCTAGTATGGATCTTTTGTTTTGTTTTGGGTTGTGATTGATGGCTAGAGTAGGGTTAAGGTAGTCACATTGCACTCTGTATCTATCTTAATCACACTTGGTCATGCATTTCTTACCTCAAAAGGACCTGGTTAGAGTGTACATTCTGAAGGCCTCAATTTAGATTTATACCCAATAATAAATGATTGTTGGAATCACTTCTGTCCAGGTAATGAGTGCTTTAAGCAGCAGAAATATCCTGAGGCTGTGAAGCATTACACTGAATCATTAAGAAGGAACCCAAAAGACCCAAAGGTAATAAAAAGTTCCCTCAATATTATTCCTTAAGATCAATATGTAAAACAAATGAATATTGGGTGATTAAGATGTCATATTTGCTGGCTTTTTCAGGCTTACAGCAACAGAGCTGCATGCTACACAAAACTGGGAGCTTTACCTGAAGGATTGAAGGATGCAGAGAAGTGTATTGAGCTAGATCCAACCTTTGCCAAGGGATATAATCGAAAAGGTGCCATCCAGTTTTTCATGAAGGAATATGATAAAGCCTTGGAAACATACCAGGAAGGGCTGAAACACGATGCTCAGAATCAGGAGCTACTTGATGGTGTGAGGAGGTACTCAGCCTTTCTGCTCTTATTCTTGATTTCTCTTCCACCTATAGCTAAACTTGTAGGTGGATTAGAGCTTTGTTTAACTGCTGCTTGAACTCATTCTGCAGATGTGTGGAACAAATTAACAAAGCAAGTCGGGGTGATATAAGCCCTGAGGAGTTGAAGGAGAGACAGGTTTAGTTTCAAATGTTATTTTGTTCCCTATAACTTCAGGGAGAGCAATTGAAAAGTTATATACTTATGTTATGGTTGTTTTGCAGGCCAAGGGCATGCAATATCCAGAAATTCATAATATCCTTTCTGATCCTGTTATGATACAGGTTTGTTAGGGTTTAGGTTAGAAGTTATCTTCTTCTTTTCAGGGAAATGTTGTCAGTAAATTGGAATGTGGATGTGTGCAGGTGCTAATTGACTTCCAGGAGAATCCTAAGGCAGCCCAGGAACACATGAAGAACCCCATGGTGATGAGCAAGATTCAGAAGCTGGTCACTGCAGGAATTGTTCAGATCAGATAAGAATAAACAAATCGTTGAAGAGAAGGCTTCGTTTTCAGTAAATTAAACTTTGCAGTGTGAATTTGAATGACAAACTGGTTTTAGTTGGAAAATTTTGAAGGTTCAAATTCCCTTCTGTACTTGATGCGAACTCAGTTTGTTTTAAAAAAATTCTACTACTTCATCACTCGATCGACAGGAAAACAATGTGGGTGCAAAAAAGTGTCTGTCATTGCTTGATTATTTAATAATTTATACTTTTAAAAATATTTTAGTTTAAGGAGCGGAGAATTGAGTAGGGGAAATTCTAGTACCGAGGACAGAGTCCTTTCAATTAAAAAAAAAACATATTTATAATATATGTTACTTTAAAAGGAGGTAATATTTAGAAGACAGACTAAATACATTTTTATGAATCACTGAGTTTGAGATTGTTATAAAATCTAATGCACGATTCTTATATTTCCATGGCTGGGGGAAAACAAGTTTCCTTGATCATAAGATGACATCTGAAGCTGTGGTTTTTGTTAGACTTCAGGTTCAATAACATTTGTATTGATGAAAGTGGAAATCAAAGAAAGGAAATGATGAGATGGCCAATTTGGAAATCGAATTTTACATAAGGTCTCATTGAAGCTTACCTTTACATAATTTACTCTACTTTTTATCTTTTTTTAAATTGAACTTTCAAAAAATTATAATTTACTTCTAAAGAGGAACTTTTGAATACGATATAAAGGAGATGGTTAGAAGTTAGATAGATAATCTCCTATTACTATTACAAGGTATTAATATAGGTGGTTATGAAGAAATGGCCGTTAATTAAATCAAGGTTTGGTATTGAATTAAGGCTACTCCTTTTTTCTCCCATTACCATCTGCTATCTTTCTTGAATCAATGCCGCTTGACGTGGATAGATATCTGTAAAGAAGACAATGTAATTTGGTGTAGCCCTCTGCAATCTTGGATTTTTCCTCTCTGTTTCTCAACAACATTATCATTGTATGTCCTGACATTTGAGAAGAAATTGTTCAACTTTCCTTAATGTAAAAGGCAGTTTGCAGGGTCTGAAGGAGGACCAATGTTGATTGAGATGGAGAGTTTCAATGCATTAAACCAGGCACCTGGGTATGGGGAGGTGTTGCAGAAGAATGACTTACAGTGAAACTGATAAGAAGCAGTTCCAGATTATTTCCCGGTTGAAGGCTTCTTTTAATGTCTTTCAAATTAAACTGCTGTCTAATCATGGTTAGTGAATATTACCTGCGTGAAACTGTGATGTACATATATATGTATAAATTTTCAATTGTAGAAAAGAAAAATAATTCCATTTTCCTCTTTAAAGTTTGGGACGTGATCTTTTGGTACCGGAACTCCCAAATCTCCTCAACTTACATAACCCTATTTTCATAGGCTAATTGCAGTCATGTGTAAAATTGGTACAGTGGCAAAGAATTCATCCATCTTAAAACATTAATTAAAAACAAAACTATGATACTCCCTGTTGCAGGAATCCAGGCAACTAAATTAAGCAGCAACTTCTTGCTCTTTTGATGCCAGCTGATTCTGGATGTGTTGAGGGACGACATCAAACTTTGCCAATTGCATCGTGTACGATGCTCGCCCTTTCGTCATTCCCCGAAGAGTGCTAACATACTGAAACATTTCTGCCAACGGAACTAGGGAATCAACCACCTGCAATACTTGCCAACATGAGCACTACAAACAAGAGGCAACAAATACAACCAGCAGACAACTAGTACAACGCATGCTGTTCTTTTAAGTTATCGTTGCATAATCATTATCAAAATTCAAACAAAAGTGAACAAGGGAATATATAACATACCTTGAGGCCACCAGGTTTATCTCCAAAGCTGTTGATCTGACCTCTCCTTGAGTTAAGGTCACCAATTACATCTCCCAAGTGTTCTTCAGGTGTCACAACCTCAACCTTCATGATTGGTTCTAGCATCTTGGGTCCAGCTTTCTTCATTCCCTCCCTGAAAGCTCCCCTTGCCGCCAGTTGAAATGCCAAAACACTAGAATCAACATCGTGGTATGAACCATCTACAAGAACTGCACGTACGTCGACAACAGGAAAACCAGCCAGTACACCGTTACTCATACACTCCTCCAATCCTTTCATCACCCCAGGAATGTATTCTTTTGGCACTGCACCTCCTTTTATTTCACTTTTGAACTCATACCCGTTACCAGCATCCAAAGGCTCAAAGCGAACAGTTATATCAGCGAACTGTCCTTGTCCACCTGACTGTTTCTTGTGGACGTACTTCACTTCAGAGACCTTAGAAATACTTTCACGGTAATTTACTTGGGGTGCACCAACATTGGCTTCTACCTACATGGACCCAGCAATTCAAGTTATAATGAGAGAAATATGACATAAATCCATTCTCAATCGAAAATGTAAGGATAACCAAATACATAAAGGAGAGAAAAAATGAAAACAGGTTTTGATTCTACATATCCACAGGAATTCTCCAAATAGATTCCTTCTCATTGACAAAATTGTACAAATTGGTTGTCTTTTGATCAGAGTAAGAATTGATTGTCATTCCTCAGGTAACATTCAATTCGTGTCCATTTACAAATGCTTGAATCTGTAAGTGAGAACATGTATTCTTGAAATAAAGTAACTTCACAAAAAACAAACAGAATTATAAATCTCTCTTTTTTCATGAGTTGCTAAAATAATTGTAAATGCTTATATACACTCTCCAACATTAAGTGACAAATTATCACGCTAGCAACCGGAAAAAAATGAAAAAGGCCTACATTAAGCAAGCAGATGTAGTTAACAATGAGCATTACCAATATAACGCTAATATATCTAAACAATCAGAAACAAAAAGAAGTAACACAAACCTTAAACTCTCTCTTGAGTCTGTCAACAATAATCTCAAGATGCAATTCTCCCATTCCTTCAATCACAGTTTGATTAATCTCTTCATCCCGTGAGAAGTGGAAAGAAGGATCTTCTTGTGCAAGCTTGATCAAACCAGCAGCCATCTTGTCGACATCTGCTTTGGTCTTAGGTTCGATTGCAACCTTAATAACAGGATCAGGAAAGTCCATCCTTTCAAGCAAAATAGGATTGTCAGGATCACAGAGTGTTTCACCTGTAATAGTGTCTTTTAGACCCGCAAGAGCAATGATATCACCTGTTAAAGCTACCTTAACATCTTCTCTACTGTTCGCATGCATTTCCAGAAGTCTACCTATTCTCTCTTTCTTTCCTTTATTAGCATTCAGTACATAAGATCCTGCAATAAGCTTTCCTGCATACACTCTCACAAATGTGAGGGATCCCACAAATGAGTCGCTCATGATCTTGAAAGCTAGTCCAGCAAATGGTTCATCATCGTTTGCTTCCCTTTCAATTGTTACTTCAGGATTCTCAGGATCAGTTCCTTTCATTGATGGCAAGTCAAGTGGTGAAGGCAGATAATCCACAACAGCATCAAGTAATGGTTGAACTCCCTTGTTTTTGAACGCTGAGCCACATAGTACTGGCACAAAACTACTCGAAATGGTTCCTTTCCTAATTAGTTTCTTAATCGTTTCCTCATCTGGCTCTTCTCCTTCTAAATAGCTCTCCATAGCTTGATCATCTAACTCAACTATGGTTTCTATCATCTGTGAGCGATATTCCTGAGCCAGCTCCTGAAGATCAGCTGGAATATCCTCATAAGCAAACTTTGCACCCAATTCTTCTCCTGACCAAACCACTGCTTTCATGCTCACAAGATCAACAACCCCTTGAAAATTATCTTCAGAACCAATCGGCAACTGAATTACGAGTGGTTTAGCACCCAAGTTTGTCACTATCATGTCCCTAGTTCGAAAAAAATTGGCTCCCAAACGATCCATCTTATTGACAAAGCAAATTCTGGGTACGCCATATTTGTCAGCTTGTCTCCATACAGTTTCAGATTGTGGTTCCACACCAGCAACACTGTCAAACAAGCATATAGCACCATCTAAAACCCTAAGAGCTCGTTCCACCTCCAGTGTGAAGTCGACATGGCCTGGAGTGTCAATGATATTAATCCGGTGTTTATTCCAATACGTAGTAGTTGCAGCTGAAGTAATGGTGATCCCTCTTTCCTGCTCTTGTTCCATCCAATCCATTGTAGCTGTTCCCTCATGCACCTCTCCGATTTTGTAGTTTCTTCCTGTATAGTATAGAACTCTTTCGGTTGTTGTAGTCTTTCCTGCATCTATGTGGGCCATAATTCCAATATTGCGATAATCTTTCAACGGTACTACACGCTTTGATTCTGTACAGAAGAAAAACGAGACAGTCATCTTAGCTTGCCTAGGGACCAGCGAAAATTCAAGTATCTTGAACACAAATATC